GTGACCAAAAACTGCTTTTTTTTTTTTGTAATGGTTTTGCCCTTCTCTTTCCTATCTTCCAGCTGCCAAATTGTTACTTCCTTGCTAGAAAAAGTGTCCATTTCTCCATGGTCAACCTCTATCCTCTTCATAATTGGCTGCTTTTTTATCTGCTGTCACCTGGAGAACCACATAGCAAGCCTACCTGAATTGTCTGAAATAAAGGGAAATGAGTTGTTTTGTTTGATAAGGGCTTAAAGGACTCTCCTATGAATGAAGTTTTTTTTTTTTCCTCCCTTTATTTTTTATATTGAGTTTTTTTTGGATTGGACCCATAGTTTCATCAGAAGTTATCGCACTAAAAAATTCTGTGTACTGAAGCAGACTGGGGCCTTTTCACCAATTCATAATCTTAGAGAGTTACCTAGGGGTTCTAAGAAACTAAGTGACTTTCCCAGGGTAAAATAGACAATATATAAGACAGGCCTAGAACCTAGGTTTTTCTGACTTCAGGAAGCCATCCCTTTGCCTCTGCACCACTCTGTAAGTAAGGTGTGTGTATTTTAGTGCATGGGCTTTGTGTCATTGATTTTATCTGCTTAGATCACTGTGGCTTCCTGGTTCTTGGGATTAGAATGTCAGTGTCCATCTAGTTCTACCCATACCTGACAAGTGTTCATTCAACCTTTGCTTGAAGACCTCTAATAAAGCAGAACTCTTTACTTTCCCAGGTAGCTCATTTCAGTTCTGAATACCTCTAGAAGTTAGGATGTTTTCCCTAACATCCACCCAAAATTTGCCTTTTTTGTAATGTCTGAACATTGCTCCTGGTTCTACCTTCCCAAATAAAACATACTCAGTAGTCATTTAGCCTATGCTTGAAGACCTCCATTGAAGCAGAATCTGTTACCTCTCATGGCAGCCTATTTAATTTCTGGATGACTGTAATTATTAGAAAGTTTTTCAAGCTTAAATTTTCCTCTTTGCATCTCCCACCTATTGAACATAGTTTGGCCCTCTACCACCTATTACAACAAGTTTAATCCTTCTTCCATATCATGACAATACCTCTTGATTCAGTCCATGCACACGTGAGCTTTTTTTTGCTGACAGATCACACTGCTGACTCGTATTTGGTAGAGCAAAATGCTGCCTCATATGCTGCCCTCTTCTACCAAAGTGTCTCCCATCCATACATCGAAATCATTATTGATTTTTTGACCCTGTTAACTACTCTCTGATTATAAATATGAAGTAAAACATAAAAGAAGAGAATGTATGCTCACGAAAGGTGTTCGCAGTTGTAATGGAGAAGATCCAAGCAGAAACTCCATTGACTGCTTTTTGAGATTCTGTGGAAGTTTTCTTATTTAGGTATGGATTGAACCATATGACCTCTATGACCTTTTCCAACTCTAAGGTGCAGTATGTCTCTGTTTGTTTCTTAAATTATCATTGGTCCTTAACAATTGAGTATTACAGAACCACAGAATTTCAGAGTTGAAAGAGATCTTAGAACTATCTATTGTGTCTTATAACTGAGATATTATTCTCCTATACATTAGACTTGACAGGATCATCCTCTAGGCTTTGCTTAAATGAGGCAGAGCTCACTACCTTTTAAGATAATCCATTCTTCTTTTGCGTAATATTATTTATGATTTTATATCATATTAATTATGTAATTTTCCTTACCTCTGACCTAAATTTGCTCCTTCATTATTTCCATTTGTTGCTCCTAGTTCTGCCCTCTAGAACCAAATAGAACCATTCTATCATACCCTTTCCACATGTTAGTCCTTCAGATACTTTTACAGCTATCATTCTCCTGATAAGTTACATATTATTACTGTCCTTTGCAAATCTGACAAAGTTATTAACCATTTACAAATTTTTCCTTAAAAACCTAAAAGATTGTTCTCTGAACGAAATGGCCACAACAGCTCATTAAGGGAGGATTTAATCATTGAACTGTAGCAGTGGGAGGATAGGGCTTTATGAGTAACCTTAACAGCTGAATGAAATCAAGCCAAGAATTAGAATGTCCATGAGATATGTTGAAAGAATCTAAATCTTAATTGAAACATAATTGTATTCTTCTTCTTCCACTTTCATCCTTAAAGTTACGTCCTTTTTTTTTTTTAGAGGGAAAAAGTAAATTGTATGTACCTTTGAAACTCTTTGTGATATGAACTCTACACTACACTACTCTACACTAAAACTGTACACCAAGTACCTTGTCTGTTTGTCGAGGAAGTTTGGAGAGCCTGGAATTTTCTGACCCATTCTGCCATCTAGAGTCTGCAATTTTTGGTGCTTCTAAGGTGGTGTATTATGGGAGAGATACAGTCACTGCTCTCCCAGTCAGTGCTCTGGTCTTTACCCAGGAAAGGCCCCTGCTTCACAAGTACTTGTTTTCCTCTTGGCCCTGGAATTCTGATCAGTGCCCTTATTCTCTTGTGACTGATTACAAACGCTTCTCTCCTTCCTGGAACTGCAATCCAGAAATGTTTATAGGTAATAGAGTTGCTGATCAGCACCAGCTGTACCTTGTAATCTCTTTCTGAAAAGTTGTTTGAGCTCCTTACCATCTCTGGGCTAAGAGCTCCCAAAGCTGCTGCTGCTACTGTGTCAGGTCACCTTCAAGTCCTGCCACTGGCAGTCCTGCCTTGGCTCCTGACCTGTGCCCATCCTGGCATTACAGACTTCTCCTTTGGATCTCTTAAGTTGTCTGAGGCTGGAAAAAATGTCTCCTTCTGACCTTTTGTTGGCTCTGCCACTCCAAAATTTGATTTGATGTGTTATTTTAAAGTCCTTTGGAGGGGAATGTTGGGGGAATTCAGCTGAGCCCCAGCTTGTACTCTGCTATCTTGGCTCCATCTGATTTCTGCATTTTTTAAGTAATAATTTTTTATTACCAAATCATTTATAATATGAACTTCCTGAAGAGAGAAGCAGAAAGGCAGAAAAACCATCTCTTTTACTTGGTCTGTAAACCTAATAGCTAATTCTCTACTGATTTGTTTTTGTTTTTTCCTGGAGAACTTACCAAATTTTTACCTTACCCAGCTACTTAGGAGATAGTTAAAATAGCCCCAGAGACCAAATTTCGTGACAGATTAGTTTTTGTAGAAATAGCAAAAAAAATATTAATAGTCCATGTAACATATTTTTACTTTTCTAATACCAAATAGTTCATCTAGTCATTAAGGCACTTTGAAATATACATATAATAATAACTAGTAGGAAAGTCTAGTCTTAAATGTCACCTTCATTAAACTTCTGATTCTATAAACTCTTCAGCATAGAAACAATATTTTTTATTTAAATTTGATGTCTCAGTTCCTAACATCATTGGCACTTAATATTTTTGCATGTTTTTGTTTTATTTTATTTCATAAATCATGTAGTACACAGGTTTTGTAATGATGCGATGGAGCTGGGGCCTGGCCCTGTGATTTCATTGGTAAAAAGGGTACTCCCAAATGAAAATATAGATCTTCACCTTTTCTGAAGCTTCTGGTTGTAAGAAGTTGCCTGGAGCACTGACTAGTAAGGTGACTTGTCTAGGGTCATTTAAAGCCCAGCTCCTGCCTATCGGGTTGCCTTTCCATTTTTCTGACCTTATGCAAACCCATCAGCACAGCTTCATTTTAACTCTACCCTTTTAAAAGCAAATAGGTCCAGCTCTAGGCAAAATTGTGAAGTCTCCATACTTTTCTTTCTTGATCCTTAGCCTCCTTTTTCTGTGCCCTTCTCTTCAGCATTGACTTTTCTCACCAATTTCCAAGTTTAAGTGCTTAATTCCTATAGTTGCAGGAATATTAATCTAGGGTCTGTGAATTTTAAGAAAGATTTTTCTTTTTTAAATAACTGCGTCAGTATAGGGGAAGGTAGGAGAGGGAAATAAGTATTTATATAGTTGTCTACTATGTACCAGACACTATGCTAAGTGCTTTACCCTATTATATCATTTGATCCTCAAAACAATCTTGAGAGGTAGGTGCTATTATTATCCCTATTTTATAGTTGAGGAAACGGAGGCAAATAGGTTAAGTGACTTGCTCAAAGTCACACAGCTAGTGTGTGAGACCAAATTTGAACTCAACTCTTTCTGACTGTAGGTCCAGCACTCTATCCACTGTGCCACCTAGCTGGTTGGTTTCCTTTATAACATTCTGTATTAAGGGGTCTGTAGGTTTCACCAGACTGCCAAAAGGGTCCTTGATACAAACAAAGACTAAGAACCTCTCCTTGAGAATGAGTAGAGGCAGAGAACAAAAGAAGGGGGATCTATAATATCTCCCCATTCTCACTTCCCTCACCCCTAGAGATTAACCAACAGCTTATCCTGCATGTGGCCTGTTCTCAGGAGCTACTGAGACAGAGAAGCTTGTTTTCCTTGATCAGTGACATTTTCCAAGCCTTGGAGCCCAAAGATCTATGAACAAACTTCCTTAATCAAGACGCTTTTTTCTTACCCCACTCACCCCTCAATTTTCCTAACAGATACAGGGAACAACCCTTTATCCAAACTCTTCCAGTGCTACCCAGATGAAAATTTTGTATTTTCTAGCACATCTGATCTTGTCTCTTCTCAAATGTTTATAAGTGCCACCTATTTAGTCCTACTTCTGATAGTGAAGTTTTTGAGAAAGTATATAATCAACCCATCATTTTTTTATAATAGAAATATTAATGTAGTTAGATTCCTCTAAAATTTAATGATGATATCACATATTTAATACATAAATTTAATACATAAATACATAATACATAATAATTTAATACATAAATTATTTTTTTGGCAAATAAACTTGATTGGATTCCAATAATATTACTACTTAGAATATGTATTCTGTATACTTCAAGAATATATGTTATGATTATAAAAAAATCAAATTATTTTGAGGAAATTATCATGTACTGATGAGGGTTATGTTGCTATTGTTATCTTTATTTTTTCTTATGGTTTGCTTTCAGATCAAATAATTCTCATTGTTTTTGTTTATTTTTTTTAGGTGAATCTTGGAAGCAACCAGTACCTTTTTTCAGTCTTAGTGGACCCCAAAGAAATGCCCTGTTTCTGTTTGCGTCATGACGTAGATGCCCTACTTTGGCAACCACACTCCAGCCAGCAAGATGAAATGTGGGAGCACATTGCAACTTTCAATGCTTTAGGTATAAAGTGAGCTGTTTGATAATGTTTTCTATTCTATCAGAAATTATAATCATCAGCATTTTTATTTTATTTTACATCATTTCTTTTTTTAACCTTTCTTGGACTGTGCTAATTATATTTCAATTGATCTGTACTATAATTTGGTTTATTGTAAAATGGTAAATGATTTTTAACGTTATAACAGTAGGAATAACCTCTGTGCTTGTACACAAGATAAATTTAAATAGAAATCTTAGCTATCTAATCACATGAATCATTCCAGTTATTCATTCAGTTATTCCAGTGAAATGATATAATTTACATGATATAGAATATTGAATATGTAGAATAAAAGAATTGTTACTCCTCTATATGATTTTTATTTAGGGTCCTTAGGAGTAATATTAGAGATTATGGAGATGCCCTAACATGATAAATATCTTGAACCCCCTTCCTTTTTTTTCCTGTAACAAACACTGAAACAATGATTCATAATCTTTCTTTGGGGGGGTGGGGGGATTGCAGGGAGAAGGCACTTATAGGGCCATGATTTCATTGACGTGGAGAACTCTTTATAGGGAAATTCCCATCACCATTGTAGATCTGCAATTCATCTGTAATTTACAGTCTTAAAGAGTCTCTCAAGGATTAAGTGACTAGCCCATGGTCATACAGCTAGTATGTGACAGAAGCAGCACTTCAACACAAATCTTCTTGATCCTAAGGTTAGCCCTCTCTGGCCACTACTGTCTCTCATAATCATAATAAAATCAGTTGACCAAAATAGAAATTAAATTTAAGCTGTACATTAAATGAAAACATAATCTTTAAAATTAGGACTTAGAAATATTGTCACATACATTATTTTACAACTTTAAAGTAATTGACTTTTTTTGAAATATAGTGACATATTTGGAGGAGAAAGTTTTATATTAATTACCTACATTTATTTGTTGAAATCACTTAATACTGTTTCGCAGAATCTCTGACTTCAAAGAGACTTTTAAGACTCTTTAGTCTAAGCCATATTTGGAAAAGAATCTGCTGTACAAGATAGCGAAGAAGTAGTCATCTAGCTTTGATCTGAAGACTTTTGGTGAAAGAGAATCAACCATCTAGAGGCAACCCATTCCATCTTTCTATATTTTAAATTATTTAGGAAATTTTTCCTTAAATCAAGGCTAAATCTGCCTCTTTGTCACTTCTGCTCATGCTCTTAGTTCTTTACTCTGAGGACACCCAGAATGTCTGATCCTTTTTCCATCTGTTAACACTTCAGATACTCAAGGAAAGCTGTCTTACTCTTTCCCCCAAACCCCAGCTCCCTTAAAAAAAGATAATGGGCTGAAAACCCCCAGTTTCTTCTGCCGATCCTCACATGGCATAATTCAGTGTTTTTTTTACCACCCTGTTTGGCCCTTCTCTGGGCACTTATCAAAGTCCTTCCTAAAATGTGGTACCTTTACAATACTCTGACCAGGTCATAATGCAGTGGGACTGACATCTCCTTAGTCTTCTATAATACGATTCTCTGACCACAGTCTAGTTAGCTTGTTCAAGTACAAAAGCATATTGCAATAGGAAATTAGGCTACATCATGTATACATTTTGAATTTTGTGTTAGACTTAGTTTCACAGCTTCAGGTTAAAATCTTCCAACTCTAACTCTTCCATATGCACACTTCCATTGTACCTCACTCTCCCTAATTTAGGCTTTGGCTAATTCATATTATAACTTTTAAATAGAAACAGGTAGCAACTATTCATCTCTCTAGAGTATTTATTTCACTTCTTCATACCTTGGTGAGACCCCTTCTCAACCAATTTTAACATTTTTGATCTGCAGTGTTGAGAACTCTAGTAGTTATATTCTAATTGAGAATTCCTACTTGTTGTTTTTGAGAGTAAATACAAATAAATGTTGAGTGTTCTGTGTGTTCATCTGAATGTGTTCTTTTAATATATTCAGATGAATAAAATAGCAACATTTTAAGTGTAATTCCTTTTCAGTTGTTATACTAATTTGTTATAATTTTGAAATTGAGTATATAGACTCTGCTTATGGGTCCCAAAGCATTGATCTGGGTTCAGATCCTACCTCAGACACTTACTAGCATGTGACCCAGAGCAAGCCATTTAACCTCCCTCAGCCTCAGTTTGTTCATCAGTAAAATGGAACTCAACCTGCCAAATCAATCAAAAAGCTTTTATTAATTTCTTACTTTGTATTAGACATTGTGCTGAGAACTAGTTTATAAAAAGAAAAAGATAAAAAGTAGCCCCTGACCTCAAGGACCTCACATTTTACAAGATATATACAATGTGGATAAGAGGCCATCTTAGAGATTAAGGCACTGACAACTGAGGAGACTGGGAAAGTCCTCGGAGGGTGGCTTTTGAGCTGAGACTTGCAAGGAAGCAGGAGTGAAACTAAGATGCAACTCTGTGTTAACAGTGTTGTGATGACCACATGAGATAAGATATGTAAAGTACTTTCCAAACCTTAAAGTTCTACATAAATGTTAACTTATTATTAGCTCTTACAGTTTGGTAGTATTATTTTGCTTTGTAGTAAATTACATTATGACATTGGTTTTGCATATAAGTAGAACACTATTTTAGGCATGTAAAAAGATATACTGCATATTATTACATATATAGGAGTCGTATTTCATACATATGCACATAGATCCTTGTCACAGTTTTACATTGGGATCTTATGGAATTATGAGAAATAAAGGATGTGAGTAAATTTGCCAGTTATTTGATGGGAGAGATATATTTTGAGATTACTGAATCTAATCTTAGTGAAATCTGTTAGGCTCCTTTCCTGTTTGACAAATGAATTTGCAAATGTGTATCTAGAGATAAAGGGCTTAGATAATATAGAATCATAAATCATATGTTAAGGAATCTCATAACTCATCTAGCCCAACCTCCACATTTTGTGGATGAAGAAACTGGGACCTGAAGAGGTCAAATAACTTGTCCAAAGTCATGCCAAAACTGGGATAGTAAAAGGCTGATCCTTTGCCTCCAAACCCATTGTTCTTTCTACTGTACCATAAAGCTTTTTACATGTCTGTGGACCTCAGGAAACTTGGTAATTTTATTTATGTGAAGAACAGATTGTAAGATTTTGAGCACGATGGTGATTCTTATTAAAAATAACATCATACTTGTACTGAATATAAACATATTAGGTAGACATTTTAATGTCAGACTTATCTCTAGTGGACTTAGACTGTCCTTACCTCTGTCATTTATGCATAACTCACTTATGTATAACTCACAACTTTCTTTTAATTATAATACTCTTTATATCAAATTTACTTTTGTCCTCTACAGATTTTAAAATAATTTGCAATTTTAAAAACAAAACTCACTTCACTTAGTGGATTAAGGCTTCCTGTTTGGGGAGCTGAAACTTTGTTTTTTGGCTGAGTTGAGGAGGTGAGCTTGCTGCAGTGACTTTGGAGTGAAGTGAAGCTTGGTTGTCATGTGTTTGTGCCTTTTGTCCGTTATTTCAGCATTGTATTTTAATTTGTGGACAAAATTTTAAAACTCTCGTGTACAATTTATTTATTTGTCTGCATTTGGTTTTGGCAGGCTATGTCCAAGCATCGAAGAGAGACAAGAAGTTTTTTGCTTGTGCCCCCAATTACTCCTACGCTGCCCTCTGTGAGTGCCTGCGTCGAGTGTTCATCTACCGTCAGCCCACAGCCATGTCCACTGTGTTATATAACAGAAAGGAGGGAAGGCAAGTTGGGCAGGTTGCTAAGCAGCAGGTAGCCAGCCTGGAAACTAATGATCCTATTTTGGGGTTTCAAGCAACAAATGAGAGATTATTTGTCCTTACTACAAAAAACCTCTTTTTAATAAAGGTAAATATAGATAATTAATGATGCCAACATGCTGACTTCTCTATACTTGAGAAAAGTTGAGAAGTATCTAGAAGGCTGAGAAGTTAAACTGAATACTGTTGATTTTAATGTAAAAAAAAAATTGTGCTGTATCTAGTTTTATTTTTTAAAAGGATTTCTTCACTGTACTCAGTAGATTTTTAGCGATCTGAAAATGGTATCAAGTGTTTCAGCTCCAGTGTTAGTTACAGCTCTAAAGAGAAATGACCTTAATAGAAAATGCAAGAATATGAATAATATGTACATATATATTTTTGTTATTTTGATTTGTTTAAAAAAAAAACTGAGGCTAAAATCTGATCTTTTTGTATGCAGTTGTACTATGCAGTATTTACCCAATAAAAATATTTACTACATTCCCTTTGTATATTGGTACAATTTGCTACATTCTGGAATATATGCATTAACATTTGTTTAAAGGTTTGAATATAATACTTGAATCTGCGAAGATGAGGGGAAAGAAAATACTGCATCTGGGTAGTCATTAACCCATTGACAGAGGAACTTAAGACCTGTTTTTGATTTCTCCTTTATCTTTTTTTTTTTTGCCTCAGATTACTTTATTATCCCCTTTTATTTTTAGAAAATCATCATTCTTTTGACTATATGTTTCACTGTGCATAAAGACCTACTATAACATTACATATTTATATAGGTAAAATAATGTCATTACATGTGTTAAGTTTGTTAGTCTAGTTTGAACATATAAGCCTGTTAAAATTTAAATAAAAATATTTTCAGAATAATTATTTTGACCTTTTAAATTAGTATAGTGTTTCGCTTATGTTACACAGGTATTTATGAGACACTTAATAAATTAATTTCATATATATTTATACATATGGATTAAGTACAGATGTATTTATAATTTTTTTCAGGTCTTAATTGATTTTCTTCTACATAAGAACAGGAATCTTTTTTTTAATAAATTGACTGAAGTTCATTTGAAAACTTCTAGTCATGCCAGTTATGTTTTAGGGAAAAAACTTATTATCAAATGTGAAGTATTTGTTGTCCTTGTACATAGAGAACCACAGAATCTTTGAATTTAAAAGGACATCAGAGATATTCTAGAATACCCCACACCTAAGCAAGAATCCTCTCTGCAACACGCCCAAGAAGTCCATACTTCCAGCCTAAATCTCTCTCTCTACAACTTCTGTCCATTCTTCCTTCTGCCCTAACGATAGTCAGAAGAGTCTAATATTTATCCCCAGATGGTTTTACAAATGCTTGAAGACAGTTCTTTGAGTACCGACCAGTCTTATTTAGCTGATCATATTTTATGCATTGCAGTGATTTGGTTCTCCTTTCCCTTTATTGTATTCTCAGACCTACTGTCACTGACTCTTAATCCCTAACACAGAACCATAGATGTAACTTTACTATATTAAATACACTAGCAAATACAAATAATGCTGTTAACTGATCTGTTTTTGGAATTTATTGAATAGTAGTGACAGAAGGAATTATTTCCTTCCGTTTCACATCTTTCCTTTTTGGTACCTATTCCCATTCCTAGTCACAGTTAAATATGATTTTATAGTTCAGTAATGGCCTAATGTTAAAGATCTATAGGGAAGTAATAAATAAGACCAAAATCCATTTCTAATTTATGCTGGGTCAAAGGATACAAACAAACATCTCAAAAGAATTGAAAACTGCTAACACTGTATGAAAGATTGCTACTAAGGATTAATAAGAGAAATACTCATCAAGCAACTCTGAATTTACCTCATGGCCAGAAAATTGTCAGAGTTGATGAAAGACGGGAGTACTCAGTGTTAGAGGGCCTGTAATGACAGGTACACTGTGGAGCTGTCTGTCGGTCCAAACATTCCGGAAAGCAGTTTAGAATTATGTTAAAAAGAAGTGACTAAAACATTTACACTCTTTGACAGAAAGATCCCACAAGCAGGTATATACACAACTCTGTGTTTGTGTTTGTGGATTTTACACATACCCCAAGGAGGTTAGAAACAGAAAAGAAGGCCCTATGTAAACCAAAGTATTTATAGGAGCATGTTCTGCTAAAGCAAAAATAAGCAAACAAATTGAAAAAGCCTATACAATTTGTGGTATATTCAGATAATGGGATATTATTACACCATAAGAAGTGATGAATATGAAGAATTCAAAGAAGCATGGAAAGACTATAGGAACTCATGAAAAAAAAAGTGAACAGAACTGAGAAAACAGTGTACACACAACTATTAAAGTGTAAATGGAAAGAACATTAGTGAAAATAAACCAAATACTATGTAATTATACTGACCAAACAAACCCTAAAGAAGAAATGTGAAAATGCGCCTCCTTCCCTATCTTTCTTCCATCTTTGTAGAAATGCTCCACTATGGGCATGGAATAATGCATATACTCTCAGGTTTGGTTGATGTGTTGCTTGGTTTATTTAACTGTTTTATTTTTCCCCTCTCTTTTTTATTCTTTGTTACAAGGCATGGTTCTGTGGCAGTGAGGGGAGAGGGATATCAGAAAGAAAGGTGATGTAAAAACCAAAACATCAGTAAATATTAAAAATTTTTTAAAAATCATATTAAAAGATCTGATCCTTAATTTTGTGACTGCCTAAAAACATGAAAAAATGAACTGTCAGCTTCTTAAAAGAGAGAATGATTACTGTTAACAAATAAATGTAATTTAATAAATTTATTTCAACTTTAAACTGTTCTCCCTTTGTTTTTCTGATTTAAAAGATGTGTGTGGGGGGGGCTGCCTTATACAATTATTAGGTAATTAACAATATAGCCAAATTATGAAGGGAAATATAAGTGTGGCTGTATGTGTATGTCTGGGTGTATTTTCCGTATTTCAAATCCATGGAAAACTTATTTACTAAATAAGCATTTTATTTTGTTCCTCCTCCTTCAATACTAGATGTTATATTGCTTTGTAAGCTAAAAATTTGTCTCTATGCTAAGGCAAATTAGAAATTGATTTTAAACTTTTTAAAGAAAACTCGTATTTACAAATAATAATAACAACTCACATTTAAAGCTAGGTGGTGTAGTAGATAGAGTGGGCCTGGAGTCAGGAGGACCGAAGTTCAAATCCAGTCTCAGATATGTACTAGCTGTGTGACCCTGGGCAAGTCACTTAACCTCTGTATTACTTCTTTTTCCTTAACTGTAAAATAGGGACCCTGGAGAAGGAAATGACAAACCACTCCAGAGTCTTTGCCAAGAAAACCCCACTGGGGTCACGAAGAGTTAGCATGACTGAAACAACAACAACAAAAAAGTGCCAATACCTTCACAGTGGAGACAATCAAATTAGCTTTATTTCCATACTACTGATAGATAATGTAAATATTATTATCTCCATTTCCAGATGTGTAAACTGAAGCTCAGAGTCACATGACTGGCAAGAGTAGAGTTTAGAAATCAAACCTTGGTCTCCTAACTATGCCCATCAGTTGCTACTCCAACTCTGCTTGGTGGTTCTAGGAACCCACCAAATAGGTAACAGAAAGGAAACCACCAGATGACTCTGTATAGTATACGTTTGTCACAGAACACTCAAAGGATTTCGTAAGGTACTACTGATAAGATACTGCTTTTGTTATAATAAGTTACTTTATGTCCATTTCAAAATCTTTATAGCACCTTTAAAAATCTTTTTAAAATTACTGTAAAAATGAATTATCACCCCTTTAAATTGTGTATTAGGGAAGTTTATATTTCAAGCAGGTTAATTCTGTATGATCTGGAAGTGTGTAAGAATTCTTGATAATAGGACCAATTTATACAGTTTTCCAGATGATTAATAGAAGAAAATTTGGAACAAGTTAGTAAAGTACCTGAGAATGTCGTATTTGATTAGAAAAAGACATGGGTTTTAAATAGGCCACCTCCTGCATGCTTCATCCCCACCACCCCACTTTCTTTGCTAGCCAATGAGGAAAGAAAAGAAGCATAGGAAAAGGAAGTAAGGAGGTCTTTGCCTCCACAAGATATAAGTAGGAAGTTGTCAGGTTTTTTCTTTCAGGATAAAAAGTTTAAGGTAAAGTGGATGCTAGAAAAAAAGGTTCATTGAAGGGTTTTAATGTAACAAATGGGATATCTAGGAGTAAGGAAAGAACTAAGCATTTATTAAGCACCTAGTATGTGCCACACACTGTGCTAAGAGCTTTACAAGTACCTTGTTTGTTCCTCAGCCCAGGGAGGTAGGTGATATTATTTCCATTTTACAGTTGAGGAAATTTGAGGCAGGCAGAGGTTAAGTGACTTGCCCAGAGTCACAGTAAATGTTTGAGGCTGGATATGAACTCGGGTCTTTCTAACTCCAAGCCCAGCACTCTGTCCTACGTACCTCTATTGTAAGTGAAAACTTTGACTTTATCCATGGATAAGGCAAATTAGAATCTGAATAATGGAATCAGGAATGATTTGCTATTAGTTCTACTTACACCTAAGGGAAAACAAATATAGACTAAAGATTAAATTACAAATCAAAGATTAGTAAGGAAGATACCCAGTTGCACCTAGATGTTTATAATTTGTACTTTTGATAAACATTTTTGAGTGGCAAAATTGTTTACCTTTTTCTCAGACCTGTAAGAAGCTTGGCTGTTTGAATGACATATTCTCATTTACTCTTTGGAGGTTAATTACCCAATTTGCAGGGATTTTATATCTAAAAGAAAATATCAATTTAAAATGCTAGCCTTGAAAACTCAAACCTTAAGTGATGATGATTAACACCATTTATTCATACATTATCTGTGTATTCAGAAAATTATCTCTCAATAGTGTTTCAGAGAAAGTCAGATACTCAAACACACAGATGGATCTTGATCTCATTAATTCAGGAGTCTCTTTCAGTGATACAAATCACTGCCCATCCATATCTGTCTCTTCTATATGTCACTTACATGTCATCCAAAGAGTTTACCATGAGGGGTCTAACTGGTGTGCTCAAGGCCCTTCTTTGATTTCTCTAGACATTTTGAGGGTATCTTCAGTTTTCATCCAGCCCTTAAGCTTCACTTGTTAATGTAGATGGAAGACAAACTACTAAGGACTTCAAACTACTAAGTGACTTGAATGTTAAATTAATGTCTTCAATTTTTCTTTGTATATTTAGGATTGGTGTAAGCAGATTGTATTATACTGGTCTCCACTCCCACAGCTTCTTTAATAATCATTGTGGGTATCTAACTTGCCGAGGGCTTTCCTCTTTATCTCTTGATACGTGAGTAATGGGCATCTACTGCCTATCCAGTGATCATCTCTTGAGCTCGCCCGCCCCTTCTTCTGGTCCTACATTTCTCTGATGATCTCTTTTAGGCCACTTTTCATTTTTTAATATGCTGCAACCTGCTCAGTCAATATTGTATCTATCCGTTACCTCATTGTTCCCCTTTGGTAGTACAGAAATTTGATGGAAATCATTACACTTGAGCCTGTAAAACAAGTAAAGAATGAGAAGACTTCATTGGAGGCTTTAATGAATTTAAGATTGGCTTCTTTTACAAAATGAGCATTTTTCATTTTCCATTGCACAGATAAAGGAGGGAATTTTAACATGATTAGACCCTGTTCCCTAGTCTCATTTTTATTATGTTAGCAGACCAGATGGACCTTAAGCCACTAGGCTGAACAACATATTTGCCATTTCTTGGTTGTGGGGACAGGAATCCCCAAACTTCTGCTAAACATGGTCTACCAGTATAACCACTATGAAAATTGCTTATTGTACTTGAAATTTGCCATTAGTGAGATTAGCACTACATAGTCAATTAGGTTGTTAAGTTTGGTGAACATTTGGACAAACAATCTCACAATTTAGTAGAAAAGAGGGATAGACCTTGGAATAACTGGCCCTCTCCGTCCCATCTAACAAGACATACTATAGCTCTCCAGCCCTTGTAGTTCATGTGGCAGTTCTCCCATTCCTTTTGAGAGAGTATTTTGAAATCTTGAACTGTGTATCTGCTGATTTACAATCAACACGATTATCTTTAAATCAAGTACATCAGGAGCATGGTTATACTTTTTAAGTGACACTTCTGATAATTTATAATTGATTGAAGTGTTTTAATTACTATTTTAATTTTTATTCAGCTGAAACATCATTTGAACATTTTTAGTAATCAATAATAGAAACCAGCAGTGAAAATAAAGACTTGCTGAACCTGACCAGGACTAGACAGTTATCATGGCAGGTCCAATGGGAATTTAGAAGTTGGGCCTAAAAGAACTGATCTCTGCTTCTTTTTATTTGAAAATCTGCCTAGGAAGAAATGAGGTATATTTTTCATAGGCAGGGGAGGGATGAGCAAGGAAGAAAAAATTGTTCGTGTGTATGTGTGTGTGTGTGTGTGTGTGTGTGTGTGTGTATAAAGCCATGGAGAATGGAAGCCAGTGTGCTACAGTTTGCTTACACCAACCCTAAACATACAAAGAAAAATTTAAAACACTAGTTTAACATTAAACTAAAGTCATTTAGTAGCTTGTGGTCCTTACCAAATAGTTGCTTGTACACTCATGCTCACACTCTCTCCCTCTCCATATACATGTGTGTATACATATACATACACATACATACATACATATACACACATATATGTATATGTATATTTGTATGTATATGAAGAAGCAAACTCCTGAAAGAACTAATGTAATTTTTGTAGCCCCAGGTTTTTAGTCATTCTTAATTTTATGAGTCTGACTTAGCTACCTATTAAATCATTTGTATTCAAATAAATATGAATGTACTTTTTTGTTTTTATATTTTGTGAATAGTTGGATTTGACTTAAGTTTCTTTATTATGTTTTATATCCTGTGCTGAACTGTCTTACTGTTAGACATGGGAAGGGGACTGTCAGTTTCATATTTTCTTTATTGGTCCTTTAATTCACACATATTTATAGAAATGAAAGCAAAGGTCAGTAGTATTTGTGTGTGTGTGTGTGTGTGTGTGTGTGTATAGTGCAGTAGAAAGTGCTGGAGTTGGAATCAGAAGCCTTTCATTATTGGTTCTGAAACTTACTTGGCTTGTGATCATGAGCAAGTCACTTGACATTCACCTCAGTTTCTTCATATGAAGAAGTCATTACTTACAGAGTTGTGAGGAAAGTGCTTTGTAAATTG